GTGATATTTGATAGTACCATCATATCCCATCGTTGCTTACTATGAGAAGTTGGAAAAATATCTTCTTAGCTTTAAAAGATTTTATAGAAACAAGATCCTTAATAGAATTAGAAAAATCCTTAATTAATGTTTGCATCATTTCATTTGAAACAATATATAATTGTATATAAGAACTTGCTTATGTTCTTCAAAAATATAATAACTAGATTTGTCTAATCAAAGATTTGTAGTTTATATTTGTTGTTCAATTTGTTTGTATATTTTTGCATTACCCTCTTTTTCTCATTTCTACTTTTTATAAAATCTTTTTTTATAATCTGTCTAATTTGACAGTTCCTTCTGTTTTTAATAAAATCTGCATAGTAATGTGCAGAGGATAATGCTATGCATATTTTTTCCAGTAAAACTTTTTTATTTACTTTACTTTTTCATTGCATTTCAGATATTTGTCCATTTTATATAAATATAAGTTTTGAGATTGTAACAGTATAAATTAAATATGATTATGCATCTTTCATTAAGTGCATATTTATACTTAAAATTTTAGTATAATATATACTAAAGTTTTTTATTTACTTTTTGTTTTTTTTGTATTTTGGTTATTAAGGTGCTCCATTAAAACCTAATAGTTTTATCACAGAGCTCCACAGATAAGCATTTAGCTCGTAAATTCATACACCCTTCCTTATTGATGTCACAAATATGGCTGTAGCAGGTATGGAACTTTAGATCTCTTGATTTTGAAGCATGCGCTTTAACCACCCTGTGTTACTAAATTTGAGCGCCACTGCTTGTCAAGTTTAGAAACATTCTCTAATAAATTATCTTTTAATAATATTCTCTAAGCATTTTGATTGTTTAAAATGTAATCATTCTAGTTTGTAGATTATAATATTAATACAAGTTTGAATCATCTGATTTGATTTGCAATATTTTTTTAGTTATTTTTAAGTATTTTTTTTTTTAGTTTGATGCTAATTTGATTTATGCTAATGATTTAATTTATAAAATTGTTAAAATTAAGCATTTACCAATTTTATATAATTACTTAAAAAAGTTTTTGTGCAAGAAAAATCTTTATAAACATATGTGTACGAAAAATAAGGCTTAGTGAGAATTTTTAGATCAGAATAAATGAATTGCATTACTTTTGGCATCAGAAAAGCCAAAAGCAAATTTAAAATAAATGTCTGAAGCAACTTCTATACAGAATTTGATTAGAAAACAAGCAGTTATAAGATATTTGCAATTTGCTCATTAATTGCATGGAACCTTAGTAGTTGCTGACATACTGTTATATATAAATTTGTTACAAAAGTATTATAGACTTTTTACAAAAGTATATAGAACAAAAAATTCTTTCTGATACCAATTTTTGCATAATTCATCCAAAATTTCAGTATTGGTACTTTTCATAAATTCAGTAAAAGACAAATTTTCGGTTGAAAAACACACCGAAAACCTTTGTTTTTAGAATTGTTTATCTAATTTAGGAAAACAGTTATTTTTTAGTATTGTCACAAAATATTTTAAGAATTTTCACAAAAATATTAAGAATTTTCACAAAACACCTCAAAAAAATCATGTTTTGCAGAGAAAATCTGCCAGCTGTTAAATTTTGCTATTAACTTATAGTGCCAACTTGTATTAAATCTCAATTTGGGATACACGTGTAATTAATTTTAACATAATACGAGTATAAAAAAACAACAAATGTAATTTTGCATTTTTAAATAAATTTTTCTAATAAAATAGATTTTGACTAGCCAAAATTTTGGTATCGGTTTCGGTAAAATATTTGCCGACATTTCGGTTTGAGCAACAAATTTGATTACCCGAAATTTCGGTTCATTTAGGTTTTGGCTTTTTTTCTGTTTTGGTTGATCACTAATTGCAGTATTAAATCAATAGTAAGATATTTGTGAACAAAATTTTATTAAACTTAAGAAAACTCATAATCAATCAATTATATATTCTGGAAAAAAGATCTAACTTCCTCGGTCGTTTACAAATAGTTATAAAAACTAATATAAAGTAAAAACCTCTTTGATGAAATAAAACATATTATAGACACATATAATTATAATAAAAATAAGAATAGCAATAAATTAGTAATAACAACAATAAAAAAAATAATTAATTGTATAATAATAAGAATAACAATAATAATATTACCAGTAAGTATAATTAACACCCAATAATAATGATTAAAATAAAAACATGATAATAAATACAATACATATATAACGGAATTATTAAATAAATATAATAACGTATAAATACGTTATTTTGACTTGCTTTTTATCTTTATTTGTTTATATCTTTTGATCGTGTTTTTACTTATAAAAATGGTATTTTGATTTTTTTTCTCCATTTTATTTCTTTCCTTTTTTACCGTTTCAAATAACTTAATTAGCTTTTTGATCTGATTCAAAAAAAAATTTAAAGAACATTTCAAAAACAATCAAAGCCTTGAAGTAATACAATCAATTCTTAATACACATATTAAGTATGAGTACACAAATTTTATCTGATAGTTATTAAAATTTCCATGTTATTTGATCATATCTGATAGTAATTGAAAATTTTTTTGTTATTACATCATGCCTGATATTAAATCTTTTTATTGCACAATTTAGCTCTATCAATCTTGAACAAAAAAAAAAAAAAATTAAGTTTGAAGTTCATAATTCATTATCATTATTTTAATACAAAATATTTTATCAAAAATGTATGAGAATTATCAGTTTTTAATAACATAAAAGAAAAGTTTTTTTTTTTTTTTAAGGAAGTTTTTAATTACTATTATTTATTAACACTAATTTATTGCAACATTAAAAATTATTTTTATTTTTTAACATATATTTTTAAAATTATCAGTTTCTGACCATATTAATAAAAAAAAACTCTTGATTGGTTGTTGTTGTTTTTTTAATATGCATTTTTAAAACTAACATTTCAGTATTGTTTTAGGTTTTGGTTACTGATGACTTTCTGGAGATTTTGGTTAAAGATTTAGAGGAACTACAAAGACCTCACAAAGTATATTGTTTTTTGGGGATTTAAGTAAAAATAATTCTCAGTCTTGTGTATAGTTTGCAGTATAATTTTATTCTACAGTGTTTGTTTATAATATGAAGTATTTGTATAGTTTTTAGTATGCAGTAATTGTGTTGATAGTTTGTACTATTCAGTTTACTTACTGTTTGAAATATGAGGTACTTACTGTTTATAATTTAAAGTAAACATTTAGTATTTATGTATGCTCTTTGGTCTCAGGACAGCATGGATGAAGTAAAAGCATGAAGTAAAAGTATAGATTATCACAGCATCAGTTAAATCAGATAAAAAGATTTGAAGTTAATTGTTTATTTGTATTCTGGAGTTCAGTTCTCTGACATTTATTATTATTAGTTCAAGATCTTTTAAATAAATTTCAGTATTGCTTAGTCATGGAGGCAACTTTGTGTAAGTTGTTCATTAAAGAGTGCTTTAACATTTATAAGGCTGAAGAAAATTTTTTTAACTATGTGTTAAGTGTTTTATGATGTTGGGCAGTAAAAGATTAATAATGTGTGGTAAATATATACATGGAAAGATGGCGGATATGCATCTGGAAAGTGAAAATGATAGTTAGTTTTTTAGAAAATATAAAAATATAGTAAAGCTGTTCAAAATATTGAAGATTTTCTTTACATATTTGTTAAAGTTTCAGATATTTGTTATTTAGTTAAAGTTACCACGACTTTATGTTTGGCCAGAGCAAAATCTTATGATAACAGTTACGGATGATGGAGTTAATGTGTGATAGATAACAATGACTTATGATGCAGTAAATGTGTATTAGATAACCAAGTTCATTATTATTTTATTATGGAGTACATTTGTATTAGATAACTGAATTCATTAAAACTATTTATAATTTTATTTTTGTAACATCATTTTACATAACTTGTTTTAATTTTTTTTAATTTTAACTTTTGTTTGGATTTTTTATTTTTATACTGTTCTGAACAAAGATTTAAAATTTTAAAAAACTACTGACTGTTAAAAATGTAATTTTTATTAAAATTCAATAGTTTAATAGTTTTTTTTTGAATTATTTTTTCATTGGGTTCATAGTTCATTAGATTTTTGTAAGACTTTTATTGAATATTTTAATTTTTCATTGGGTTTGTAGTTCATTAGATTTTGTAAGACTTTTATTAAATATTTTATTTAATTTTTTCATTTTTTTAGAAAGTATTTTTTTATTTGGATGATTTTTTTTATTCAGATATGTAAATATGCTGTTTTTATTATAATTTGTTTTTATTTTAAACACGATGTTTTATTTTGTACAGATTTTTTTTTCAAGAACTAACTTATCAGATATTTTTTATTTATTAAACAAATAATCTTTCTTATTTATTAGACAACACTTACCTCATTTTATTTTAGTCTACTTTAATCAGCAATATAATAGGTAATGGCTAGGTAATGGTTTTAATACATTGTTTTATTCTTAGACAAAGAAGATAAAAAAGTAATAATAACAAATTTATATTTTTTTATTATTATTACATACATAAAAAAGGTGTAATTTTGTAAAAGCCTTGCCTTTCCCTATTTCATTATTGTATCATTAGTAAATGTGCTAGACCTAGAGTAGCATTCATTATTAGACCTAGAGTAGCATTCAAAAGTACTTCTACTACTTGTTTTTGCATAGAAAAAAGTATTGACAGTAGGTGGAGATCACATATTTATTTTTTATAAATATACATTAGTGACATTCTACTGCAGTATAAAATTTTTATTTGACTTTGCATTAATATATTTTAAATAATTATTTTTCATTTTTGCTTGGGTCAAAAGTATTTTTACTTTCAATTAAATTTGAAAAAAAGAAGTGAAAAAATGAAGATAACTATCAAAGTTCATCAAATTTGAAGTTAGTGACATAGCCTTTCAAGATAATTACAGCGACACATCTTTGAGATAATTACAGCGACACATCTTTGAGATAATTACAGAGACACATCTTTGAGATAATTACAGCGACACATCTTTGAGATAATTACAGAGACAAATCTTTGAGATAATTACAGCGACACATCTTTGAAACAATTACAGCGACACATCTTTGAGATAATTACAGCGACACATCTTTGAGATAATTACAGCGACACATCTTTGAGATAATTACAGCGACACATCTTTGAGGCATTGAGTTGAAGCTTAATTAGTTTGTTTTGTGGGATATTTTTCCATTTTTGGTGTAAAGCTGCAAACAAATTCTTTTTGTTAGTAAAATTTCTTCCTCTAACTTGATGATCAAGCTCCTCTCATAAATTTTCAATGGGATTTAGGTCAGGATGTTGACTAGGCAAATCCATAAAACAGACTTTTATTAACTGTGAACCAATTTTTCGCAGCCTTTGAAGTGTTTTTAGGGTCATTATCCTGCTAGAAACAACATCGTTGATGCATTTTTGCTTTAACATGTGGTAGCTATGATTTTTCATCAAATTGGTATAGTATTTGGCATTTATGATGCCCTCAATTTGAATTAATGGCCCTACACAATCACGCAAAAAACATTCCTATACCAAGACACTACTACCTCTGTGTTTTACGGTCGGTAGTGTACCAGGGGTCTTTTCTTTTATTTTTTGGATGTCTAACATAGTTAATACCATCAGATGAAAACAAATTATATTTACTTCATCACTCCACAACACTTTACCCCAATCTTGTTTAGTCTAGTGTAAAATCTCATTGGCAAATTTTTCTCAAGCTATCTAGTTCTTATTTGAAATCAATGGTTTTTGAATATAATGTCTTCCAAATAAATTGTAAATGTCTTTTCACAGTTGACTTCAGAATATTTGTTGTATTCATAAGTAATCTGCAGTCTAGCAATGCGAGTATCACCTTTTGACATTTGAAAAAGTTGACAATTATCCCTTTTAGTAGATTTCTTGGTCGACCGGGTCTGGGTTTTGTTTTTAAAGTTTCCCTGCATGTTTTTATCTTGATCCATGCATATAGAAACTGCTTAGATCCCATAAATTGACAAGCAGCTTTTGCTTTTGTGATTCCACAATGATTAACTGCATTTATCACTGAATTATGAAGATTTTCTATTCTCATTGTGCTTTCCCGTTTTTGAATGCGATTTTCATTTTTCAATGAAGTTTACTGAATAAACTCCATGTAGATATAAGAATTTATAAAAAAAAAATATTCAACAATCAAGAGTAAAAATACTTTTGAACTTTTCTAAAAGACATTACAAATTAAATGCAATTGTTTATTAAAACAAAAGAACTTCTACTAATTAAAACTATTTTTGTATTGGTGTAAATTCCACAAACAAAGAATGATTTGAATTTTATTGTACAAAAAATAATAGTAAAAATACTTTTGACTGATATTGTAAGTTTACAGTAAATACTGCCGGGCCCTGACTAGATATACTAAAGTGTGGTAGATGCAGTGAGTGTGCATACATTGAATAATTTTTGTAATGATAGGCACATTAAGTGTACATACATTAACTAAAAGTTTTTACTCTTGCAGGTAATCTTTTAGGTAATAATTTTTTAAGTCTTAAAATTTTATTATTGTTCTATTTATGTTTTTAAAAATATTGATTTAATAATGATGGTATATGAAAATATTTTCTGAAAGCTAAAAAAAACTATAAATATATCTTGTACTGCCGACATAGGCTTCCATTAAACTTTACTGATGATGTAATGGAATAACAATAGTTAAAAGCTTCAGTAAATACATAGATTTAGGGTTCGGTCAAGCAGTATTTACTCATGAGGAACATTTGTTAGAGCAGCTATAAAATTTAAATAATCTAAATTTATATAAAAATATAAAAAGTGTGCTTTATAATTTTTTAAAAAGTGAAGAATTTATAAAGTATTTTAAATACAAATGTTTAAATTAATAATTTTCTTGCACATTAATGTCTGTATATGACCAACAATACTTTATTTTTGCCATAATATTTATATTACATATATTAATATAAAATAGATAAGATATACAATATCTTAATAAAAATAGATTGCAAAGTTGTTGTTTTTTTTTCAACTTTCTTAAATCTTGTTTTACAGCGTTTATGACATGTTTTTTTTATTGTTACGAAGAAGAACTTTGGAATTGGTTCAATATTGTGGCTTTCATAATAGCTATCATTGGTGTTGAGTCTTGATTAATGTAGTTATTTTATCCTTTTTTATTATTATCTTATACACATAATTTTTTTTATTAATTAGTGCACTTTAAATAACACTTTTTAAAGCACACACTAACATTACTCAAACAGTTTTAAAAAGTCTTCAAGTTGTTATTGATGATTACTTAATTATAGGTTTGAACCATGTCATAAGTTTTTCAAATAAATAATGTACACATTTTTTTTTTACATGTTTTTAATAGCAGCTGAGAAGTTCATAATTTAAAATTATTAAAATTTTTATTACTGTTTTTAAGGTACAATGTCTGACTTTGCTTCTGAAGATGATGTTTTTGAAGTAGAAAAAATTGTTGCATCTCGATTAGACAAAGTAAAGTTCTTAATGCATATATGTTTTAAAGAATTCAAGCTAAGAATTGGGTAAATAAAAAAAATCCCATGGGGTGAATAAATTAACTTGTACCAAAAAAATTTGGGCAAGATTTTAAAGTAAAACTAGTAAAACAAAAAAATGTTTAAAAATTTATAATAAAAATTATAATATATTATTTATAATTTATCTAATTTTTGTTTAGAAATGTTTAATGAAAATAATATATAAATAATATATTATTTAAAAATGTATAAAGTCCTATAAGATTCGATAAAGTTTACAAACTCTGTTCTAAATTTCCCTCGGGCATTTAAAATGAGTTTAAATCCTTTTTATGTGTCAGCAGTCATCCCCCCCCCCCAATCTATAGTTTTTATGTGTCAACTGTCACCTCCAATCTATCATTTTTATGTGTCAGCAGTCACCCCCAATCTATTGCTTACCTATTTCTATGGTTTATCAATTATTCAAGTATGTTTAAATTAGTTTTAGGTAAATTTGCTATTTTTGTTCATTAAATATAAAAATAAAAGTTTTAGTTTGTAAACAGATAATAATCTCAGATTTTTTTCAGGATGGACTGCGTCGCGTGTTTCGTGTTCGATGGAAAGGATGTAAATCTGATGAAGATACTTGGGAGCCATTAGAAAATCTTCTCTCTTGCAATGAATTGCTTAAGCAATACAAAGAAGAACGTAGGAAAAGAAAAAAACTTAAGAAGAACAAGTTGAATGTAACAAAGGTGTGTATTTTAAAATATTGTGAGGTGTGTATTTTTTAAATATGCATCCTTAATTTATAATAGTTTGCATATAAAAATCAGAACATTAAGCTGTAGAATTTCAAACTTTTGAAATATTACTTTTTTCAATTATTTTTTTTGATAAGAATATCACCTTATAATAAGATAATAAAAGATTTCAAAATATAGCTTATAAAGATTATTTTGATAAGAGTATCACCTAATAAGATGGTAAAAGATTTCAAAATATAGCTTATAAAGATTATTTCAATAAGAATATCACCTAATAATAAGATGATAAAAGATTTTAAAATATAGCTTATAAAGATTATTTTGATAAGAGTATCACCTAATAAGATGGTAAAAGATTTCAAAATATAGCTTATAAAGATTATTTCAATAAGAATATCACCTAATAATAAGATGATAAAAGATTTTAAAATATAGCTTATAAAGATTATTTTGATGGTGTTGCATTTAAAAAAAAATTTATAATTTTTTTTTAGTTTTAGTATACCAGAATCTCAAAAAACAATAAGACTCAATGAAGTTTTTTTTGTCAAAAGAAATTATAAATGAAACAAAAATATTAGAAGAAAAAAAACAAAAAGTTTTTATAAAATTAAAAAAAAATTTTGAAAATATTAAAAAAAAAAAATTGTTTTAAAAAAAAGTAAAAATCTAAAATAATTTTTCATATAAAATATAAAAAATTATTTATTATCTATAAAGTTTTTATATAAAATTTTTATTTTTGAGATTGACATACTCTTAAAGGATATTATTAGGGGATTCGTGCTTTTGAAGAATTTTTTTTTTAATTTTATTAGAGACCCATCAAACATTCAAGTTTTATTAAAATTGTTTTTATTCATTTCATTATATAGAGTGCATTTAGGGACACATAGAAAACACATTTAGAGGATGAGAAATCCACACACTAAAGATAAATTGAGCTATAATGTTTTTATATAAAGTGTATCCATAAAAATTATTAATATTTTTGTTGAAAGTTTTTATATAAAGTGTATCAATAAAAATTATTAATGTTTTTGTTGAAAGTTTTTATATAAATTGTATGCATAAAAGTTATTAATGTTTTTATAAAAAGTTATTTTCTATAAAAAAAGTATCAATAGAAAGTTGTAAGAATGTGTAAGAAATCAAAAGAATCTATTATAGTGAGTTGCTGACTAAATCTTTAATGAAAAATGTTTCTTTTTTATTTAGGAATTTAGTACCCAATCTGCTTTTTCAAAGGTAAAAGAAGAGCCAAAAGAAGAAGTTAAAACTGCAAGAAAAAAAGATGATTCAAAATTACAGTTTAATGTTAAAAAGCAAACAGAATCAATAAGAGGCAGTTTGCCGAAGCGAAAAAAACCTGACCTTTTTTTAAATACTGACACTGATCTTGCTGGTATATTTATTATTTAAAACATTTTAAAAAGTTTTACTTTTTTTGCTTATATCAGATATATTTCAATCATTTTTATATTATATTTCTATCAAAGAAATATTTCAAATATTTTTGGCTAGCAAAGGCCACTAAAACCACAAGGTAAAAGGTACAAAATGCTTTTCAAGAATATTGTGCTGCACAAAATTACACAGGCCACTCTGTTTAATACTTAATTCTGATTTTTTCACTAATATATAATTGTTACTTTACAATTGTTACGATTTTTAACAGATTAATTTATAGTTGTAAAACAGATTTTCTCACTAATTTATAATTAATGAGAGCATCTGTTTTAATTAATATGTAGTGGAACAAATATTAATAAAATTTTTTTTATCAAACTAAAAATTTATAAATAGATAATTTAATAAATGATTGATTAAGTGATTTATATTCAATATTCAATCTTTTTGACTTTGAATTTTGAAGGTTGTCATAACTAAAAACTATTTTTTACTATTTGTTTACAGTTTACTACTAGAAAAATTATTTTATTTTAGGTTTTAGGCACATCTAATTTATAAATTTTGTGGCCACATTCTTTTTTTTGTGGCCACTATCTTTTTTGTGTGGTCACCACCTTTGCTAGCCTCTAATCACTTTTAGGTGTTGCTCTAATAATATATTTTGCTTGAGTAGGTTTTACGAGGAAACAGCGGCATGAAATGGAGCGTGCTGTAGAAGAATCAAAAAAGTTAAGTCCTGTATTATCTGACACTGAAGATTTAGCAAATGCTGATAACTCGAATGTTAAATCTAAATCAAAAAAGAAAAGAATTCGTCGAATATTAGACGATTCATCGGATGATTCATTAAAATCTCCAAAATTAAGTGCTAGTTCAGCAACGTCAGTAGAGAATGTGTTTTCTTTTACAAATGTATTAGGTTCTCCAAGTAATAGTTACATATCGCTTGTTGATCAACTTCAAAAAAAAAGCGAAAATACCATTATTTATCCAGAAAACAATACCATCTCTCCAGAAGTTAATAAATTAAAAGTTAATGAAAAAAAACCAACAATAAATTTAAAAAGCTTATCAGCTCTCAAATCAAAGCTTGGGTCATCAATACGAAGTTCATCATCACCTCCTGTACCAAATACCTCTTTTTCCCCTTCTGCTCAAGGTTCTGTGTTATCTTCTCTGAGTTCTGGTTTATCCCCTCTTGATACTAAATCTTCGTCATTCCCTCTGGTGTCAACTTTATCATCATCTTCTTCTGTTCAAAGTGCTCCTTTAGCTACTCCTATGAAAAATTCTTCTTTATCCGTTCCAGTACAACATTCCTCATTAAGTGGAGTTCAATTTGAAAAAGATTATGTATCTGAACATTCTAGAAATATAGAATCGATTTCACCTAATCGAAAAAATGCTTTACCTAAAAATCAAATTCTCAATAAAGATATCAACCCTAAGACTACAGATTTTGAAAGTTTACAAACTTCAAGTTCATCTATTGAGTCTCAAAATAAAAATAAACCTTCTAATTTACCTTTGGAAGTTGTAATTAGCAACATTATTCCAAATATTTGTTTACCTATTACTGCAGAAACATCTAGAGCAGCATCATCTTTATTAGTTAGTAATCCATCTTTATCAACTGTAGAAACATCTGGAATAGCATCATCTTTATTAGTGAGCAATCCATCTTTGTCTACAAAATTTTTGTTGTCTTCAGTTTTTTCAAAAATTAATCTTGATTCTGTAGCAAGAAAAAAATCAATAAAAAAAAACAATAAGTTAACTGAATCTAGTAAAAATATTTGTATAGATTCACAAACAAATCATGTTGCTTTACAAATTGATACAAATATTAGTGAAACTGCTGATAAAGTTGTTACAGGTATAGATGAAACTGCTGATAAAGTTGTTACAGATATTAGTCATACTGCTTGTAAAATTGTTACAGATATTAGTGAAACAGGTGATAAAGTTGTTACAGGAATAAGAGAAACTGGCGATAAAGTTGTTACAGGAATAAGAGAAACTGGCGATAAAGTTGTTGCAAATATTAGTGAAATTGCTGATAAAGGTGTAAATAACAAAGTTGATCTAAAAGAACAAATTAGTTCTGAATCTTTTGAAAAAAATGTTAAAGAATTTCAATCAAATGATAAAGATTTACATAAAAACATATCAGAAGCAAAGCAAAACTTTCAAAAGCTGGGTATAGATTTTAGTGTTTTTAAACCAAAACCAAATGTTACAATAGCAAAAAAACCAAAAGATGCAGAAGATACAGTCAATAATCAAAGTACAGTTTTAAGTAAAGCAACAAAAGAAGCAAAAAATGTTAAGCAGACTATAGTTGACAAATCTAAAAAACTTTCATATATTGAGTATCAAGCTAAGATTCGCAGAAAGTCATCAGAACATGCGGATACCGGACTTTTTTTAGATTTTCTAAAGGTTCCCAGTGCATTAAGCGAAATCAGTAGTCAACCTGATGGAGTAGACAAAGCTGTCATTCTTAATTCAAAAGCATCTGCTGAAAAGGTTGTTACGATAGAAAAAAAAAAGGATAAATTTGTTAAAGAAATTGACTCTAGCAAAATTGATGGAAGAGAGTTGGCTAGCTCAGAAGATGTGTTAGGAACAATATTGGAAACTATAGGCCCTATTAAAGAAATCTCTTCAAAGTTAGCTGCAAATAATGAAAATAAGGTTTCTTGGTTATATTTTAAATTTTATTGAGTTTTTTGCATTTCAATATTTGACATTATTTTTGTTTCAGCAGGTAACAACTGAAAATGAAGATGTTATTATGGAGGAGAGTTTAAATGAAGAATTTTTGAATGCAAGTGATTTTGAATATGATCTTGATGATTATTCTGGAGATGAAGACGGACTTGTAAGTTTACTTTGTTTAGTTTTTATTTGATTATTATGTTAACAAAAAATATGTATAAAAAACCAGTATAATACATCTTATATTCTTGTATTTAGCATTTCATACATTTCTCCTGCAGTTTCTTTCCAATGATTCCAAAGAAAGGTCACAACCTCTATTTCTACAATTTATTCATTCCTTCTTTTCTCTCTCTCCCCCCCCCCCCCTCTTTTTTGTATTCTCAAAATCTGTTGGCCCTTTCTCCTCCCCATCAATTCTCATTCTAAGGTAAATTTGTCTAACAATCATGAAACCCCACTCTATGAATTTTATTGTTGTGTCTACTTTCCCTAACTATTAGACCCCTCGTCAATACTCTCCTCTACCTGACCCTTGTCAGGTAGAGGAGAGTTTTTAAATTCATCTGAAATAAATTCTTTATGAAAGTTTGATTTTTAGAACATCAGTTAATTGATTTTTTTACCCTGTTTTATTGCTCTTTGATAATTCAATGATTAAGTTTTCACTTTAGAAATTTTCCTAATAACAAAAATAATAAGGATTAAGTTTTTGAAAACTATTTTTTTTAATATTATTTTATTTGAATAATAAAATATTTTTCATTTGAGAAATACCTCATATTTAGAGATGGTCGGACTGATTGACGTTTTTCTGTTTGCCCGTGTTCGTATGGTCCAAACCACGGAACGGGTCGAACACGAGCAACAATAATTTTGTCAAACAACCCGGACAACTCAGACACCCCAAACACTGGACAAAAAAACTAATGTCGAACACCGATCGATCACCAAACAGTCATTGAACTAAAAATCTTGGACGCGGTCGGGCGTCGAACATGCAAAAAAATGAAAATAAAAAATGACACAAGAATCTGACAATTTTTCATATTTACAGGTTCGTAGTATTTCTAGTACAGATTTAAGTGCAGTATATACAGCCTGTATAATACAGGTAGTAAATTTAAAAAAAAAGTTCAGTAAGTTTTCAATAAGTTTTCTTAGTGTTTGTCCTTGGCATTGAAATGGGAATTTTGCAGTTCCTTGTCCATTCGAAGTAGCATCAAGGCTTCAATTGTTTCTGGTGCAAGATTGGCTCTCCTGTCATTAGTAATCAGCTTTGCAATGGAATTCATTCGTTCTCTTGGGGCTGAGGTAGCAGGAATGGCAAGAACAAAGCTAGATACAATACTGGAAATGTCTCTTTATTTTTTCCCCACCACTTTAGTGCTTCATTCCCAAAATTTTTTAAATTTTGAACATTTGGTGCCACAACTTCAATTCTACTATATTATTTAATTTCATTATTCTCAACAGGGGCTGTTGAGTCAATAAAGGAAAAAAGTGAAAGCAAAATGTGGTTAGAAAAAGGCTTGGTAGAGGAGTGCTGCTTTTTCTGAGGTGGAGAATTGGTCGGTGATGAGTTTGTCTTTTCAAAATTACAATATTGTATAAGACGTCGCAGGTTTTCCTTTGTTTCTATAAGCTTGGCAGTAGCATTTTGTCCGAAGACTTTGAAAGACTTGCAAAAAGGAATAAGAAACAAACCAATGCAATGAATATGATTTATTTTGAATTTATCAGACAAAATCTCAGTTGCAAAACTTGACAAGTACGTAATAATATCTCTTTGGTTTTCATAGTCCTGTTTGAAGACCTGAGAATCATATTGAGTTTCAAAGTCAGAATCATTAACCCAACGCAAGAAGTTTTCAACTGGAAGAGTGTTTGCCAAGTCAGTGTCATCATCAATTACATAAAACTCTGGATTGTCTGATTGATGTTGAATGAATGTTCAAAGGAATCTGTGCAAAAGATGAGGAGAAAGACTTGAAGTAATCTTGCATACTAAAATTTAACAAAATTGGCATATAAATTGTTGGATAGGTTGACCCTTCCAAATCATCACTTGCAGCTTTGAAAAATTTTAAAAATTTAACCAAAACCTCCAACTGATTTTTGTCGATTGCCTCAATTGCTATCATTTTCTTAGTTCCTCGTTAATGAATCAACAATTCATCATACATTAGAAGGACTCCTTTAAAGAGTGCCAGATGTGAATTCCAACGTGTAGCTACATATTTTTTTAGAGTCCGGCTTAATTTTGCATTCACATTTCCACTCTTCACGAATGTAACAACTTGATAGCAATTGTGAAGAAGATCATGCAAAGATAAGCAGTGAATTTTCAGTTCAGATGGTTTAAAAAGTTTTGTCAAAACATTGTTCAAGATGTGGCTGCTACATGAAATTCTTGTCGATTGCAAGATTTCTGGACGAATGTCTATATCTTCTAATGCTACTACAAAGCCACTATCTTTGAAAGCACTCAAAATATTAGAACCTTGATCAGTAGTGAAAATTATTCGTCTCAGTCCGCCAGCAGTATAGGCATCTACCTTTTTAAAATTGTCAATGAGATATCGAGAGACGACAGTGGCAGTTTTTGAAATAGGAGATAACACAGAAAAAGCCATTGCCGCCTCCTGTACTTAATTATTTTTAATCCAATGCAGTGTCATCGATAGATATGAGTTTCTGTGAAAATCATCAGTCCAAATGTCAGTAGTTATGCCTACACCACTCCTTTCTAGTTTCGCTTTGAGTATTCGGCTGATTGTGATTCTAGACTTTGAAACACTAGTTTTAATGGCTTCAGCAACTTTGTGTTTGGAAGGAAGAATGTCTTTAGCAGTAATATGTCCCCGATAAGTAGCACCAAGATGAATAGCAGTGTTTATGACAGATTCAAATCCTTCCCCATAAATTGTTACAAGTGGACAAAAATCAGTACTAAATAACGCAAGACAACTATTCAACATCCATTTTTATGGTTTTTATGAACTTGCACAGAATGTTTTGAAGGTAGAATTTTCCTTTTTTATTACTGGCAAAATTGACTGTGAAGGATCTTGAGCTGTTAGGGGTGTTTTTAAATGTCTGATCAAAGTAGTAGTGCTACTTAGCTTTTGGTGAACAGCTTTTTTACAAATATTACAAACTGCAATATTTTTGACAGGTTTGATGGCATGTAATTTGAAGAGCAAAGAAAAATTCATCCAAACTTTTGACTTGCTTACACCAGTAGTTTTCGCTTTCAAAAGAACAGAACCACTGGAAATTTGTTCTTTTAAAATTGCATTAAGTTCAATGACTTCATCTGAAGTCTCATAGATCTCTTTTATAACATGCGCCATTTTGTATTTTTGTGTAATAAGTTCTCGAAAATGTGTAACTAAATCAAATTTGACAACATGCAAAGTTAAAAAACAAAGTAGATATTTACAAAACAAAAGTTTTTTAATAAATTCAATAAATGTATAAATTTTTTGTAATTATATTTAATATGTTATAAAAGAAAAATTCAATTAAAAAATTTTAAAAAAATTAATTTTTTGTTCACAACCAAAGCAAATAGGATATTTATCATATCTTCTTTGCTTTTGGTCATGTTCGAATTTGATAATCAAAATAAGTTTTTCTTATGCAGTTTTTTACGCTGATTTCAAAAAACTAAACGTTAAAGTATGAAAACCACTGCATTAGTGTTAAAAAAAATTAAATGCTTCGATTCACCAATATCCTGTAGTCCAAGGAGAATGAAACTTTTAAAAGTCTTGAAATAATTTAAAGCTGTGGTGAATAATTTGGATTAAAATGGAATAAATTCAAAAGAGATAATAATGCTGAACAAGTCGTACAACCGAACAGTCGAACACTTTCTGAAAAGTCAGTCAATTTTAATCGATTTGGCCCAGAAATGCCGGCCCGGTCGGATGCCGAACATGGCGGCCATAAAAAAGTCGGACAATGGCGGACATCAGACAAAACATTCTTCAATCAGAACCAAACATTTTGATCACGGACACCGTTGAAAATTTTTCAATTTAAACCGATCAATTATCTTGTAAAAATTTTTTGACTCGGTTGCACATCGGACACAATGTGGCCCATGTCCGACCATCTCTACTCATATTCAAAAAAGTAAACTTTCGGGAAATCAAAAAAAAACTCAGCTGATCCATTATACATTTTTTGACCATGAGGCAGGACCAGTACAAGTGGATATTGGAAAATAGGCCCCTTCCTTAGGATCAAAAATGGCCAATGAAAAGTATATGTTCATGCACAACTCGACATCATGCCACAAAGCTAGGAGTTTTCCAACATTCCTAGCTGAAAAAAATGTGCAATTTTGCCTTGGCAGGCACTCCCATATAAAATCTATGGGAATTCACGAAACAGGAAGTTTAAAGAAATTTATAGAAACCTTTATTAAAGAAAGACATAACAACCCAAGTCTTCAGCACAATACCAAAGTCTGTATAGAAAGCATGCATGGGCACTTAAAAATATTAAGATTATTAGCTAATTAATTATGTTAACACTTTTATAAAAAAATAAATACCTATGAATAGTTATGTTATTTTATGTTCTTAATAAAGCCATCTAACAATAAAAATGATAAAATAATAACTTCAAGTTATGCATTTATTCATTAAATTCATTTAAAACTACGAAAAAAATAATCTGTCCTTAATTATTTGGCAATCCACTGTATTTATAATTTAATTAGATTTTCAAGTTTCTTTTTACATTACATAATTTTTTTGAGAAAACAAAATATTAAATTTTACAAAATTAAAAATTATAGAGTCCTAATTTGTCAAGGTTTGTGGAACTTCTGTAGATAATTAGTTATTTAGTATTCTTTGGGTATAAAGTCTTTCAAATAATAACAATGTTTTTACGTATCATCAATGCATTACATCAAATTTAATATTTAATAACAAAATGTTTTTTTAGTTAATGATACCAAGTTTAACCAGCAAAAAGGTGACACATGAAACTCTTAATGCAAATACAAAAAGTCTTGATCTATGTAAGTTTTTATGTTTTTTTATTTTTATTTATTTTTCATGTAGTTGTTTTAGATATTAAACATTTCTTTGAATAAATTAGATTTCAAGATTTTAAAAAACTAAAAAAATTTTTAAATAGAACTGTGTTGCAAGCTCTTATAAATATTTAAGATTTTTTTTTTTTTTGGTTGATATTTTCAGCAAATATTTCTGTTCACTTTGTAGCTTTAATTAAATGACAAAACAGTATAACTTTGGTTTGCAACTCATTAAAAAAAAAAAAAATATTTTGCAAAAAATAAATTAGTTTCCTCCACAACATCAAAAATAGAGATTTTTAATTTCTATATTTAACATGCAAAACATTTTTTTTCTGTTAATAAAGTTTTCAAGGCCCATATGTCTATAAATTTTTTATGATGGCATGTAGCTTAGAGGAAACTAATTATTTTTTATGATGGCATGTAACTTAGAGGAAATTAATTTTTTATGATGGCATGTAACTTAGAGGAAACTAATAGCAAATATTCATTAAACTTCGGTTACAAAGTTTAACAAATAGTACTATTCGTTAAAGAAATAGTATTAGAACCTCATAAAATTTTGTCAATAATTATACTATTTGTTATTCATTCCACTATTTGTTAAAATGCAGTTTAAAGTTCAAGATTCTGATTTTAGTTTTTTTGGTTGTATAGTTTATTGTACATATTATTAATGTTTGAAAATAATTCCCTTTGGGTATTACAGGCCTTGTTTTAAATAAAAGCAGCTTATTTTTAAAAAACAAATCTAGAAGTGTTATTTTGTTAATGTACATAATGTGGAATGTCTATTTTGTTTCAATTTTTTGTTTTATTTTTAATATTAAATAAAACATTTTTTATTGTCATTTAACATAAATTAATTTCTTTCTTTTCTCTACATTTGTATAAATGAATTATAATATGTTAATTTTTTTATTTTTATAGTTTTTTAAAATTGTGGCTTTGCAAATAATAATTTTTTACTTTTAAAAAGTTTAACAAAAATAAAAAATATTACAAACAAAAAATATTACTTGTTGCAAAAAAAAAAACTAAAGTTAAATACACTTTAACTGTGCTTTTTTTTTTTTGCTTTTTTTGTGTGACAAACCAAGATTTAAGTTTTTAACTACAATTCATTAAAAAATATATATCGTTGTACTTTCACTTAGCTTATGAAAAAAAAAGTTAAACACTTTATTTACATTTTTGTATATGTTCATTTTTTATGCAGTTTTAAAACATGTTTATAAGAAATTTAAATAACTTTAATCAAAATTTTTTCTAAATTATAATGAAATTTCTGTTTTTACTTTTTTGATATTGCACAATCTGTTGACTATATAAAACTGATGTAACTATTATAAAATATTACTTTTCTTAACTACTACTTTTCTTATAAACAAGGCATTGCAAGTGTTATATTACTTCAAGCATAGATATTTGTAATAATAAAATAAAAAACTTATTCTGTAAATTTAACTCTGAATATCCATAGAAAAAGCTTTTTATTTAATTATATTAAATAAACTCTTTATAAGATTTCATTTAAAATTTGAAATAATGTTTTTTTATTTATTTAATAAAATCAATTCTTATAACAAAACAAACAAACAAAAATTAAAACATCAAAAGTACTATTTTTAGCTAATATATATATATTTTTAATTCAGTAAATATTTTCATTATTGTTTGTTATGAGATATTGTCTAAATAAATATTCTTGCGCTTGCGAGCGCAAGAATATTTATTGTTATATTATTTGATTTTTTTTTTACATATCATATAACATCTTTTTTTTTCTTTTGCTGAACATTTTGATGGGAAAGTTACATTAATAAACACAAAAATTTCTTTGTTTTTTCTTAACTTACTAGATTTGCAAATATAAGATACGTAAAATATTTTAATGGAAATAAAAAAAAACACTCGCAAATATAAAATGTAATTGTCATTTAAACTTTTCACCTAATTGTCATGCAAATTTCATATGTGGTTTTTATAAGGTTAATTACTTTTATCTTACCACTTAAACAATGTCTTTAGACTTGTTTAAATATTAAAAATTGATAAAAAGTGGTTTGACTGAAATGGCCTACTGCTTAGGTTGAATGGCTCAATGTGTACATAAATAGTGTGCCACTTTACGCTTTAAAATTTATAGTGCTAAAGGTTAAAATCAGATAATACAAAATGAAGCAACAAACAGCAGAGGTTATTTAATAAAGAAATATTAGTTGATTTTTTTGTTGATTTTTTTTCATATTATTTTATTATTAATAAAATTTTGGTATCCCTCCTTTGATCATATTTTTATTTAAATGACAATCATTTGTTTAAAATCATAACAATTATTTTTATTTGCTTTTTATTTTTACTTTTAATTTTAATTGTTACTATTACTTTTTGTTCTTAATATTATTTTTTATTTAACTGTTATTATTATTATTTTTCATTTATTAACTTTTCAGCATTACTTAATTTATAATAGCACATTTTAATTAACTTTTTATCACATCATGTTGAACAAATATTACTATCTGCTCAACTTTGTTTATATTACTATTATTAATTAAGTTTAACAAACTTTGTTTAGTAAATAGTAATATAAATAATAGTAATAGTAATTCAATAAACTTTGTTTATCACATAGTACTTTTCATTTATCAAATAGTACTATTTGTTTATCGCGTAGTACTATTCTTTAGGCTTTGATACAGAAGTTAAATGAATAGCTATTTGTTTAATGAAAACACTATTTGCTGGTGCTTAGTTTCTGTCAGCATTGACATTATTGCTTGGAAATGTAATAATAATAAAATTCCCATCAAGTTTTAATTGAATTTCTCCTGTTATTGATTATTTTGATTAATACATTAAACTAAGAAAATTGAACAATTTTTTTAATTTTATCTAAATTTCTTTTATTTGTAAATAATTAGTTTATTTTATGTAAGAGTTGTTCAAACTTTTGTAACTAAGCTATGTGTTTATTAAAGTGGTAATTGATTTATGTAAGAATTGTTCAAACTTTTGTAACTAAGCTGTGTGTTTATTAAAGTGGTAGTTGATTTATGTAAGAGTTGTTCAAACTTTTGTAACTAAGCTATGTGTTTATTAAAGTGGTAATTGATTATGTGTTTATTAAAATTGATTTACTGCTTTAATGATATATATATATATATATATATATATATATATATATATATATATATATATATATATATATATATATATATATATATATATATATATATATATATATATATATATATATATATATATATATATATATATATATATATATATATATATATATATATATATATATATATGTATATACACACACACACAGATGTGCACTTGTGTTTGCCCAATGGTACCAGGCAAATGAATTTTGTGAAGGGCGAATAAAAATATTCCTTAGACACAAAAAAATCTTCATTTTTATTTGCAGTTCTAGTTTTTTTTTTATTTATTTATGAATTTTATAAAAAGAAAAATAACTCTAGTTATCTAAAATAATAATAAAACTATTTTTAAAGTTAAAGTCAAAGTTTGTATTTTACAATTTCTTTTATTAATTAAAACATAATAAAATTGCACGAGCGTTTAAACATATTTAATAAAATACTTCCTAAATAAAAACTCAAAGGTTTTATTGTTTAAACAAAAATTCTATTTTTTTATTTTATTACAATTTTTATTTAAGGATTTTGAGATAAAGTAATAAAACTAAGTTTGCCAAAAAAAAAATTTTTTGACAGGTCTTGTTGAGTAACATTACGCAATTTGCTTTTTTTGTAAATGTCAAAAATGTTCAGTTAAGCAAAAACTTTTTTGTAAAATATAAACGTTGAAGGCGTTTAGTTAAGTTAAAACTTTTTTTTTTTGTGTAACAAAATTCAGTAAGTCAAAGCAAAAAAAAAAAAAAGGATGACTTTCCCATATTTTATGTGTTTTTTCTTTTAAAGAGGAAAGAGAAAATATGTGTTGTCATCTGTTTGTAAAATATATTTGTATAATTATAATGTAACAAGTTTATATCAAGAGTTAAATTATACGATCGCGATTTGCAAACTCTGGTAAAATATTAGGTCTTTAAAATTTTAGTTCATGCAAATCTGTGTAATAAGGTGCAAATTATTAAAAGTTTGCTAGTGAGAAAGTTACAAAAAACAAAACAAAAACAATAAACTTACGACTACAAAAGTAATAACACTTTAGTCACTAACTGCATTATAAAAGTAATAAAAATTATAATAGTGTTATTACATTTATGAAGCACTTATTACTTTTAAAGTTCATTCTTTGTTCAAACAACATTATTAATTCCAAACATTTATTAAAGTAGAAAAGCGTCTAGAAAAAATATGGCTGAATGTAATAGCCACTCTAAAGAGACAAAAATAAAAACAGTACACAAATAATTTAAACTATTAATGTGTTTTTATTTTTTTCTATTTTAATCTCTTTTTATTTTGTTAGTTTTTGTTTTGTTTTGTTTTTGAAAGTTTTTCAGCATTGATTATTATAAAACTTGCTAACGACCGTGTTCAAGTTATCTAAAATAAGATACTCGCGTGTGGTCATACAAGCAGGAAAAATAAAATAAACAAATGCTACTATTTATTAATGTATTGGGTAAAATATATATCTGTGTAAATGTTATTTCAATATATATAATATTGAAATAACATTTACACAGATATATATTTTACCCAATGCATTAATAAATAGTAGCATTTGTTTATTTTATTTTTCCTGCTTGTAAAGGCTATTATCATTAGATGAAAAATTTGCTGGACAAAAATCATTTTTGTCTCGACAAAACGCTGCTTTGATTTTTACTAAAAACCATTTTTTTACCATCAATAAGAAATATGGTAAAACGGGAAATGACTAGATTTCTCGAAATGCATAATCCGGAAAAATACCTGGCTTCAAAATTTTAGTTTATGCAAAACCATGTAATTTGTTTTTTAAGACACGAA